CACACACACACACACACACACACACCACCACCACCCACCCCCCTTCCTTGGCACACCTGCACGTAAACTTGCTTTGTTGAGTCAATGAAATCTATGATTGTGCTTTTTCTCTCTTTTCCTTAGACTGTGTTTTACCGTTTATTCGTGATCTCCGCCGAGGACATCCATACTGTATATATTACGCTGTATATATTATAGTAGTGATGAATTGCCAGGCAAATTTCAAGGGGCACGGTCACATCTGCCAAAGAGCCATGAAGATTTGGTCACTTATTGTGGGGAAATTAGGAACGTTTTTTTTTTTGGGGGGGGGCGGGGGGGGGTTGTTTACTTTCAAACACCAAGTGGTATGTTTCCTACTTCTTAGCAAATCATCAAGAGCGACCAGCCTTCCGCAGGTTGTCATGCCGACGCAGCAGCTTCCTTGCAGCTGTGCTCAGGGTTAAAGTTTTTTTTTTTTTTTTTTTTTTTTGTGTGTGTGCACGCTCACTTTCAGAGCGGCTAATAAACAGCCAAGCCGATGACCAGCAGCATGTTGTCACCTCTTAGTTTGATTTGGTCTCTTGTTGAACAGTCACTCTCCATCTGCTGGTCAGCCGATCAGTGCTACTTCCTGATGAGACTTTTAATGACATAGGGATGGACAATGTGTGTCTGTGTGCATGTCCAAGTTAGCGCACATGTGCTAAAGCTACAACTTGCAATCCTTAGATAAGGATGACCCGTCTCTATTGTTATAAATGAGCAAGAGATTGCGGTCAGGTGACCTCTCTCTCTCGCGCGCGCCCACATGGCTGTTTGCACTATTGGCAAGCGGAATTGGTGAATGTACGAGCTACACAGAAACTCATTATAACGCGATTAGAGGCAAACCTTCCGTTTAATCTCATTTAGGACGAGGTGGCTGCCCATCAAGCGCAGTGGCACTAACTCGGGCCTGCGCGCACACACGCGCACCCCTTTCACAGCAGGTGTGTGCGAGTGAGACGCCCCTCGTGCCGTGTTTTCATGTTTTACGCATGCTGCTTCGTTCTATCATATCAGCAGCCCTGCAGCCAACTCATATGTGTGAGTGTGTGTGTGCAGAAAACTGACATACACATACGAAGTGTGGCTTGCTCACACTCAGGCTTGCATGCACAAGGATGCTGATGGTTGAATTTTTATTTGGGGCACTATATTCCAACACATTACCCTACCCCCATACACACACACACACACACACAAGCAATCCCATACACTACATGTGATATGTGCACAGTGACCTTCTCATTGCAGAGTAGGCGAAGAGTCAGGGGCCAGTCGTTGCTGTCAGCTTGTCAAAGGGAATGACGTGAATGCAAGGGGGAGGCTGGATGATTGCATGGATGGATGGATGAATGTGTCCATTTTAGTGTTCCAAACGGGTGAAAATTTTCGTGTAAATATCCGTGGGAATTTAAACTGTTAGATGTTTGGAAAAACTCCAAATTGGAAACTAATTGATGGCGATAAAATGGGGGTTGAGTCTAATTTATCGGAGAGTTATCTACTCAAGTGCTGGGTTGAAAGCGCACTGCCCTGAATGCAGAGTCGGTTTGTGCATCCTTTATGCAGTGATTTACGCTGCTCTTGGGAAAACATGGAGAAGCGTTATTTGATAACACCTTTGGCTCCAAAAGGTCAACTTGGCCTGGGGAGGGCGAGGACGGAGAGGAAAGCCAAGCAGTTAGTTTGATGAGGGGTGTTGGTATGTCCATTGGAAATGCAAACGGTGCTGATGCTGAGATTGTTACCATAGTAACCCCCTGCTGCCCCAGTCCCTGTTTCCCTTTTCCCCCCTCTCACACATCAGATCGCAGCTCCTCGGGCTGGCATTTAACGTCGGCGCGGCTCTCCGTGGTCTTAAATATGCTTAATATCTGCTTCACGGCCGCGCTGTGTGGTCACACAGACGCTGTTAATCAGTCCTTAATGCCTCACCGGAGTAAATACGTCCACATAAGCACGTATTTGCCCAAAAGGGCGCGGAGAATGCCGCTATTATTGGAGAGTGTACGTGTGTGTTTGATCGTCTTTTCACAGGAGACAAAGCGGCCTGGTGCCAAATTTCTTCAACATGCTCAATAAAGGTGAGTGCTAAAGCAGAAAAAAAACGTGGCCGAGCTGACACATGATTAACTTCAGTGTCACCTTGACCCAATCAATCACATTCAATGTTCTTCTCAAAATGTACATTTTTTTATATTTAATAAATAGCAGTGACTGGGGCACGGAACATGCAACCCATTCATCAAAAATGCCGATGGGGCTGCTGTAATTATGCCCTATGAATTCCACCTAACACATTTTTTCATTTGCCTATAGAATTACCCGCCCGATCCAGCAGTTGACACAGTTTTCCCTTTTTTATCCCCCCCCTTAAAACGTACATTTTTAAATTTAATAGAGAGCCGATCAGCCTCTATTTTCCCTTTATGTTAACCCTTTATGTTGCTTTTCATGTGACCTTTTCATTTGCTTCCTTGACCTATTCAAATGGAAACAAATCTGTTGGTTTTGTGTTGTGCTCATCAGCAAGCTTGCTCACGATCCTGATCATTTGAATCAAGGAGCAGGGACACCTCAACATATCGGCCCTCGAAGTCCGACGCCTGTTGCTTTGTACGAGTGAAGACAGACCCAAGAAAGCGTGTCCAAGACAAGTGAGCCCAAAGGATCATGAAAGCGGTTTGTGGCACGTCGCATCTCAAAAATAAACATTGCTGGGGTCACCTGACTTGGAGAATTGGGAGGTAACCGATGCTCACGTTGGTGTTTTCGTAGACTGCCACACTTGCGCTCAGCATAACAACGTGACTATCTCCGATTGGGTTTCGGCAGACCATGGGCGTTTTCTATTTAACGACCCTCATCGCACCTGACATTTTGATGACAGAAGGAAGACTAGACTTTAGACCAGGTGACATCACAAGTCTTAGCTGTCTTCTAAAAGTACTTTGCACGTGCCAATGTCCTACGAGGACTTCCGCAAGTCTGTTTCTGCTTTTGCAATGTAGACTACACCTCTTGCTGAATTCAAATTGATTTGGACGAGCCGCTTCGATAGGCCAGGAATCAAGTCGCCTGTGTTCACTCCCACAATGGTGCAAACACCCAATTCTAGCTGCAGATGTCTACGAAAATAGCAAAAGAGAGTAATCTCCATCCATGCGCATAGTTGGACTGCACTTGGCACTAGACTTGTACTGGGCACGAAAATCTGTCTGTCTTTTTCACTCTCTTTCACTGTTGGTCATCTGTCTCTCTTACCATCTCACTCAAAGTTGCGCTTCTATCACTTCTCTCCATCTGTCTCACTCTCCCATCTTTTTCCTTCCCTCTGTCTCTTTACGTTCCGCTCTCTCTGTCTGCATCCGTCTCTAGCTGTCTCCCCTCTTTCTTTTTTCAGTTCTGCTTCTCCAATCTTTCCCTCTCCCTCTGTTTTGCGCCTGTGTCGCTCCCTCTCTCATCTCACGTGATCATCTCTCGCCCTCTCCGTGCGCGTGTGCGTCTTTCCTCTCTCTCGGAGCATTGATCATCGTCCGACTGCACCTTTTCCTCCTCCCGGGAGTAGACCGAGAAACAGTTCGTAGGTGAGGACATCCGTGTGGTCATTTGTGTGCGTGTGTGTGCGCGCGCGTGTGTGTGATTGGAGCGGCTCTCGAACTGCCGCGTTAGCCACCCACCAAGCACCGACCACCGCCTGGCGTGCTAGCCGCGGTGGGGTTCACCTCCGGCGGTGGCGTGAAAACGGGCGAAGAGGTGGCGGGGGTGGACACCACAGGATGCTCGCGAGGTAAGTGGACTCTGCATCCGTTCTAAAGTCATACACACGAGAAATAATATTCCACGTCTATGTTTGGTGGTTGAAAAGGGCAATTAACGTGGAGCTAAGACACGACGAATGAATCGCGGAGAAAGGGAAAATGGAAGCAATGGCCGCAAATCGACAATCGATATTTCAACCGCAGTCGTTCCCGCCGTCTCTTAAGAACAAGCATTTCGCCCCCCCCCCCTCTTCTGGCTTCGTCGCATACGTGTGTGTGCTAGACGATTTGTTAATTCGACGATAGTCATTCGCCGCAGCGCCGCTTTTGTCTTTTGTGATCAAACCCTAAAAAAAGAGAAAGCGGGAGACAAAAAGGCTTAACGGTGCCGCAAGATGTCGTATCGATCCGACAGCCACACCAAAAAAAAAAAAAAAATCAAAAGGTAGTTTTGTAAAGAGGGGGTTCTGGAATGCTCTCTGCAGCCGTGAGAAGACACTTTGGGTCCAATGTGAATGTAATTGTAAAGTAACTTGATTGTACCATCTTGCTTTCTCTGTAGGTGGCTGGAGAGTGATGACAAGGCACACCTGATTTCCCCCCCACGCACACACTTGCAACCTTGCCCCTACTGAGTAAGGAGGACGAGGAGGAGAATCCTGCAATGACAGTGTTATTTCTCTCTATTAGCAGCGTGTGAGCAGCACACAACACACACACACACATCGGCGCTAAGCTCCGTGAGGAGTTTCCTGCAGGCGGGCAGAGGGCCTGATCTAGGCCACCAAGATGGAGTTGGCGCCCAGCACAGGCAGACGTGCTCACCTGGCACAAGACTGAGAGAGCTAGATGCAGTGAAAGATGAGGAAAGGAGCTTCGGCGTGAGCCCAGAGCACAACCCAGGAGCCAGGGTCTTCGACACAGAGCGCAATGAGGCTAGCTGTCCAGCTCTAGCCTCCGCCCCACCCCCTTCCCCACAAAGTGTGTGTGTGTGTGTGTGCGTGTGCGTGTGTGTGTGTGTGTGTGTGTGTGTGTGAGCTGCACACCAAGTGTGTGTATGAGTGTGATGGCCATGTGCGCTTGGGCGGCGGCCCCTCTGCTCTTCCTGGGCCTTTGCCTGTGCAGCGCGGGGGGCCAGGCCCAAGGCGAGGTGCTGGAGTTCGGCGGCGTGTCCAGCCAGTGGGGCCGCTTCCCCGTGTGGAACGCGTGCTGCGAGAGCGTACTGAGCTTCAGCCTGCGGACACACAGCCAAGAGGGCCTGCTGCTCTACCTGGACGACGAGGGCTTCTGCGACTTCCTGGAGCTGCTGCTGCTGCGCGGCCACCTGCGCCTGCGCTTCTCCATCTTCTGCGCCGAGCCGGCTGAGCTGCGCTCGGGTGTCGCGGTTAGCGACGGTCGCTGGCACGCAGTGCGTGTCAGGCGGGACTGGAAGAACACCTCTCTGGAAGTGGACGGGCGGCTGGAGGGTTGGGCGGAGGTGAAGAGCAAGCGGAGAGATATGACTGTGTTCAGCCACACCTACGTGGGTGGGGTGACGGCCGAGCTGCGCGCCTCGCCTCTCCGTCTAACCGCGCCGTCGGTGCGCGACCACCCCGCATTCCGCGGCTGGATGGGGGCGCTGAGCATCAACGGCTCGCTGGCTGTGCTGGATGCCTCCGAGGGCGTGACGGTGACGGCGGGCTGCGGGCCGGAGCACCAGTGCCAGAACGGGGGCGTGTGCAGCCTCGTCGATGACCGGGCCGTCTGCGACTGCTCTGACACCGGTTACCAAGGCAACGACTGCAGTGAAGGTAAGCCTCAAGAACCCTGCTGACCTCTTGACATGCATCTCATCACACATGCAAACAATCTCACAAAATTGCACACTTTCCAAATGCGGTGAAACAAAATTTGATTAGAAGAAAAAGGTGCTCTTCACAAACCCAAGCAATCGTTCCCATTTAAATAAATGGAAGTGGAAGTCATTAGTTCTAGGCCCAGAATCAACACACACACACACACACACACACACATACATTTTTCACACTGCTGCAGCTTCTCTCGGTGTCTGTGGACCGGCAGCCTTCACAAACATGACAAGCGGTGCATTCTAATGCTGCCGTAAATGGATTTTTTTGTTGCCGTGCCGGCCAATTATTTAATATGTGGACCTTCTCTCCATGATTGTGATTCCCAACAACCGCGGTTGCCGTGGGAGATCATCGGGTGTGCTGCGGGAAATGATCAAATTATAAAGCTTTGTTGAAAGTAATGTGTTCTGACACTCAGCTCCGTCGGACTTCATATAAAAAGCAGTAGTAGAACAGTGGCATATTTCTTTGTTCATGAAGGAAAAACTAGCATGGTTACATTTATACTTTTCTTTTTAATTCCTGAACAATAATTTGTTCACTTCAGCACCATGAGTCTAAACATGCTATTCTGATTAATATTGCGTTTGTGGAATAGGACTTCCCTTTTTATCCATTACAAGGGGGCGGCCATTTTGCCACTCGCTGAACTAAACACGACGTCACAAACCGAGACGGCATCATTTCTCTTCTTACCTTTTGTGACATTTTTGTTTGGCAGTAGGCCAACAGATTTGTTGATGTGCCTTGGCATAATAAAGGTTGGGAAACACTGCAGCCTGCCTTTTTGAAGTGTAGCCATGTGCTAGTTGAAGCGGAAGATTCTGCTCCTTCCGCTGAGTCTAAAACGACGACCGTACGGACACTTCCATTGGCCAGACTTGAATTGGACTTAGTTGAAGAGGCTGAAAATCAACGCCACTTAAATGCCTGTCACCTGCTAATGCATTCCCATCGATCCCGCTCGGCCTTCGCCCCACACCCAGAACGTAGCTGAACAGCCGATCTTTTGGCCTGCCAATACTTTGAACGCTTTGCGGCGTTTTAAGACACCGATGTGCGTGTTACAAATCATTAAATACTGCAGACTCCCATTAAAACGAGAACAGCGCTTCGGAGAGGCCTAACAGTCGTCATTTGGATCTGCACCAAATTGCATTGCGATTCACGTATTCACTCAGAAGTGAAGAAGAATGTGAACAGACCAAAAACGAACTCAGAAACAGACGGGGACAACAGAGGTAAATATTATGTTCTTCACTGGATGTTTTCTAGTGGCCCCTTGTTTAATACGGTCAAATCAGCCTCAGGCCAAAACAAGTGCCACTATAAGGAATCTTATTTTACGGTGAGTACTGCATATAGCGGAAGGCAGCCAAGGCCCTCCAGCGACTTTTGATCCTGCTCACCACGCGATTCTAAAAAACCCCAACAAGCCCCCGCACCCACTTTTCGCGGCAGATCTTCCAAAACGTCACACTTTGCCTTTTCTTGTTAAGTGGCATCGGCAAAATAGCTTCGCAGTTCATCATTGTTTGATCCAGTTTGGGGAATTACCGACTGGACGCACGATATCCCCGAAACATTTAAAACATGGTTAGTATTACTGTTGCTAATTTGAATTGATAAATTCATGTGCAAAAGCCAACAAGTGCCGTTTGGACAAAAGAAAATAGAGCCGTGCCTACGTGGCAGAATGCCCATCACGTAAAACCGTTCAGTTATCAAAGTTTGATTTCACGAACCGTCAATTGCCAGAAGCATTTTACCTCCGCTTGCGTCACATCCACCAAAGCCATGCCCAAGTCCATTTGTATTTCCATCATCACGTGCTGTGCATCTTGAACCATGCCGCTGCTAATTGAGCTTTGATTGAGCTTGAAAGTGAGCACAAAATATAATAACATTCCACTCTGTTGTCTTAGATTAATTGCATGAAACAGTTCCAGAGAGATAATGAATGTCATGGCTGAGATGGGTGATATACGATCAGTGCCGCAGCTTCTACGAGAGAGCCTCCGCCCGTGTTGGTCGCAATCAAGTGTGTCTATCGGATGTAAACCTTTTGAGCTTGCCTGTTTTGAAAGAAAATTAATTTCTCTGAATGGTGTGATTTTTTTGCGGACAAAGACGTCAACTTTCTAAATGAGCCTCTAACTTGTTTTGTCTTTCAAAGTAGCATAGTGGTACCTCGACTTGAGTTCTCCAGCTTCCCAGATTTCCAAATTACATTCGCGGATTTTCCTAAAATACATTTGTTGGTTTCCCCTTCAAAAATCCTTCTCCTTCCTCTTTTATGGAGCACCTGCAGAATGGGATGTGGTGGCACCCTGTTGGCTGCCAAGCCTACCCTTGAATGTAGGACGCACCCCACGGCGTCATCCGATTTGCTGTGGTCACCTCACAAACAAATCTGCGTTCCTAATCAATAGGCCATTTTACGACATCTCGGCTGAACCTGCAAGCCATTGATTTTAGCGATAGACGCCGACGCACTCGCCAAAAAATGTCAATGTGGCCGATTGTCTCCGAGAGGACTTCACACCTTCGCACCCCTACGCACTTCCCTTTCGACACCCCCCGCTCCCCCACCCTCTCCCTTTAAATTACCCAGAGCCTTTAGCACAGACTGGCCAGTGTTACCATGGAGACAGCACTAATAGGGGAGACCTCATGCCGGCAGCGTATCTCCGTCCTTGTGCTTCCTGTCCCCATCACCATTCCTTTGCGCGC